ATTTGTATTGACTCCTTCTTTCTCATTGATGCCTATTAGTCTCACATTGTTCATCTTTGCATCATCTTGCAGGTGATGGATTATTGTTTCCTGCATTCTAGTTGTTTTTTAAGAGATCCTTTGTTACCTTTTCACTACCTGCAGCAGCATCTTCAAAATCTGAAACTCCGTCTTTACTTTCACTTAAACGGTTTTGCAAGCTTGTGATTGAGATTTGAATTTCTTCTATATCTCTTTGACTCTGCTTCATGCAATCTATTTCTTGTATTGCTCATTCAAGAAATCTGTCATTTTTCTAAACTCCTGTATTTTTTTTTTATCATCAGTGTCTTCTTTAGAATCAGTTATAAATTATTTTACTGCAGTGCTTTTTTCAGATTGAGTTTCCTCCCTATGCTTCTGTAGTTGATTCTTTCCTTCATATGGTATGAGTTCTGAGAATTCTTTTTTTATTTCAGAAAAGAATTCCGCTCTGAGTTCCTCTATAACTTTCCGCTGTTGCTTATTTACTATCGATGCTATTAATTCGTACATTTGAGCTGAGCTAGTGGAAAAGAATTCTGCTCTGAGTTCCTCTATGACTTTCTGATGTTGCTTATTTATGCTATTAATTCATACATTTGAGCTGAGCTAGTGTCCTCTGCATTTGTTCTGGGTGGGCATTGGGTTTCCTCCATGTTTCTGCATTTGATTGTTTACTGCAGATGTTATTAATTCAGGAATTTCTTTTTTCATTTCCAATCTGAGTTCCTCTATACCTTTCTGCAGCTGTTTCTTTATTTCAGAAGCCGTTGATTCATTGCTTTCAGCTTTGTGATTCCCAATTCGTTCTGTGTTAGTGTCCTCTGCACTTGTTATGGTTGGGCTTGGGTTCTGAGATTGCATTTTGTTCCTTCTCGTCAATTTGTGTGGCACTGTCTTCTGACCTTTTTTGTAGATCTTTGTTGCAGTTATAACCATAGTACCTACTGAAGTTCAAGTGCAGATCTTCAAAGTTTGGATTTATGCAGCTGTGCCTGCTTGGGTCTGGCTACTGTGTTCAGGTCCTTCCTGCTGCTGCCCTTGGGGGTGAACCTGTTGTCCCCTTCTGGCAAGATGTTCTGCTCCGGGACTAGCTGGGTGGTTCTATCCTGTACACTCTCTACAGGGATTGCAGCTGCAGGATTTCACCCCAGGCCTGTATGCCAGACCTGAGCTGAGTCTTGAAGGGTCAAGATGGATTGGGGGGAGAGGCAGCTCTCCCACACACTCACAGGGCCTGGACTAGGACTGGATCTGGGGGTTCCCGGAACATGACAGAAATTCCTACTCTGTGGGCGAGGTGTGGGAGGGTACTATGGAGTGATGGGTGGCGTCCCAAGAGGGCGAATGAGGGTGTCGCTCACACTGCGGCTAGGCTGGGACCAGTAGGTCACGCTAGCGCAGGGTAGCCGGATGCTCTCCCACACACTCACCGAGCCTGGGCTAGGACTGGATCTGGGGGTTCCTGGAACATGGCAGAAATTCCTACTCAGCGGGCAGGGTTGGGGAGGTGCCGCAGAGTGTTGGAGTATGTCCCAATGAGATGAAAGAGGGTCTCACCCTTGCTGCGCCTGAGCTGGGACCAGTAGGTCCCACTGGTGCAGGTTAGCCGGAAGCTCTCCCACACACTCACTGGGCCTGGGCTAGGACTGGATCTGGGGGGTTCTGGGAACACCTTTCACAAACTTTTCTCCAGAGTTTTTGTAGGCTTTTTTTTTTTAAGGAACTTGATGTTTTAGTAAAGCATTTTGATACTTGACGGTGCCTTGGCTGAGCGTAGGAGCTCTGTGGAAGATCCTGAAGCATGTTTACCACATTGTGCTATCACATTCTCAAAAGAACCAAGATAAAGCTCAGATTTCTCAGAATGGAAATATATATTAGACTTTACCCTTGTAATTTCAAACTCGTAATGTGCCTCTGAAAATACTCAATTGGTACTCTCATAATTAAACATGATTTTTATTTTAATCTCCTGAATTATAAGCCAGATATTTATTACATTCTCTTATAAAACATAAGACAACTGAAGATCTCTTTGAAAAAGTATTTTAATAAAGCACACCTTTATTTCAGTATCTTAAACAGTGAAGATGAAGAAATATTCAATAATGAAGAGTGTGAATATGCATCAAAAAAAAGGAAAAAGGACCATTTCAGAAATGACACAAATGCCCAAAGTAAGATAATTTTTATTCACAATTTTAAAAATGTTGGAATGATAAATTGTCTCAGTAGTGCTATTTTATAAAATAAAAGGTGGTACAAACAAGCACTATGTCCAGTGTTATCACTGATGTAGTGATTAAATTTTTGCATTTCTACCATTTGAGTTAGTAAGATGTGTCAAACAGAAGATGGAAAAACCAACAGCACAGCCTCTACAGCTTAGTAACCAAAGGGTAGCCATGAATTTGATTCATTCTGGAGCAGCCCAGCCACCTGGGAAGAGTGAGCACATAGAGGCAGGGTCATTGAGGCTCAGGCAAGAACCGAAGTGGCCGGGGCTGGGACTTGGGACACTGGAAGCTAAGAGTGGAGATGGTGGGGCAATAATTTTTGTGCAAGGCCAACATGGCAGATGTCAGTAATGCTTGTCAGGGTCAAGTAGAAAAGCTTGACGAGAATTACGTGAAAGTATGTATCTGGAGTATTATAGAGGGTGTAACAAAAATAGGACTTTAGTAGGGTAGATAAGGTCACATGATTCATATGATCACTTGTGTCGTGATATGACTATAGTCATTAATAACACTGATTTCTTCTGCATTGTAAGAAGTGGTACTGGGCTGGAGAGATGGCTCAGTGGTCTAAAGCACCTACTTGGAACAAGCTTGGCAAAGCACAGGGACCGCGGTTCAATCCCCCAGCACCACATGCCAGCCAGCCCCGCCCCCTGGTGGGCTGAGCTGGCCACACACACACACACACACACTAAATAAATGTTAAAAAAAATTTAAAAAAAAAAAAAAAGAAGTGGTACTATCTTAAATCATTTTCCATGTGAAGGGGACTCAGTAAATCCTAACTGATACTAGGAAACAAAACATTTCTCTTTACCCAAGTAAAAATATCTCTTAATGATTCAGTAAATCAGATAATTTTGTTAACGTGTCCAGTAACTGAAATTCCTTTAAAATCTTTATTTTCAAATGATTTGTAGATTTTTATTTTTATCTTAGGCTTTTATCGTGAAAAATGGATCTATGTCCATAAAGAAAGCACAAAAGAAGTAAGTATTCTAAATAATAGTATTGTTTCTGTTGAGAGTAAAATATCATGTTAAATAATCTCAGTAGTTTCTTACAGTATTAAATTGGTGATTCACATTCTCACAGTGAGTATACATGAGGATCTTTTAAAGTGTGGTTCACAGTTTGTGTGTGTGTGTGTGTGTGTATGTGTGTGTGTACCTTTGTGTGGAAATGGTGTGTGTGGGATATGTGTATATTGATGTTACATGTGGTACGTGATGTCTATGGTCTGTGTGTGTGATGTATATGGTATATATGCCTGTAGTATGGTGCACTATCAGAATAAATTGCTGATTTATTAATAATTAATTAATAAATTCCCTCACTCTATATGGAAAGTGCCTTTGTGAAACTGTTATTAAGGTTAGGCCTGCAGAGCAGTGTGAACTCTCTTGTCTTGTACTGCCAGTTTGCCTGAAGTTTTCTATGAACTCTTAAACCAGTGATGGTGAACCTTTTAGAGACCACGTGTCCAGGCTACAACTGGAAACCTATTTATTGCAAAGCGCCAGCACTGCCCTTACGTGTGCCATTATCTGATGCTCAGCTGCTGGGGCAACTTGGCTCATGTGCTAACAGAGAGGGCTCTGCGTGCCCACTGTGACATACATGTCATGGGTTCACCACCACTGTCTTAAATGAACCAGTTAGCTCTACTCTGTTTTTCTGTTTTTCTACCTGTATTGAGGAAGCCTAGTTCTTTGTGCAATCTTTGAAACTCTGTATTTGCTTCATTTCACAGTGCTTGTGGGAAATAATTCAGAGAGCAATTGTTTATTATATGTTAAGAAAAGTGAAATGTTCCAGAAATTTTAATAATGAATGTTATAAACTAGCCCAAGTTGCTAGAAACAAAGATTTGATTCTGGTTAGTTGACCTATTTGATGATGGTATTTTTAGATGGATACAACACAGACCTGCTCTAGCATACACTTTGAGATACCATTTGAAGAGTGACAAACAGCTTGGCTTGTTATCAAATTGTAGTTGGTATAGTAACAAAATTTGCTGTGGGCTTCAGGATGTCCTGTGGATTCCTGGAACAGGGATCTGACGGACTCAGAAAGGACCCAGGTTAGTGCTGGGAGCTGGCATGTCTTATGTTCTGTCGCACAGCTCCCTCCTTGTACCTGATGCAGGCCCATGCAGCTGTGCAGGCAGGTACACTTTGCGGTCTGCTCTGTGAACTGCATTTGATTCCTGTTGTGACATGGTAGCTACTTTGAAAAGGTTTCTGTACCATCATTTAGAAATCTATTTCTTCAGAAAAGAATTAAGGCTGTCAACTAGAATGGATTTTAGATAAAACCCTGAACCTGATAATCCTTTGCTTCCTCACAGCCAGGAAAACATTCTGCACATAGCAGATGCTTGGTGCTTGTATGTGAGTGTGTGCTTTGTGCACACATTGGGGCCCTTCCTGGGATTGGCACGGCCAGGTGTGTCTCCCTGTTTTTCCACAATTGAGACTATGACACATGTTGCTCTAACTGTACCAGACCAGTCTTACCCATCTGCTCCAAATTCAGGGCTCCATCTACCATCTTGCAGTTTGTTAGTGTCCTTTAGTACATAAGCCCCTCGACACAACATTGAAGATTTGTTTATAGGCTTTCAATGTTTAAAATGCAGAGATAGATTTGCAGACAATTTTTGAGCCTAAGGTACAAATGTGCATTAACTGATACAGAATAAAGTGTACCATTACAAACGACTTCCAAGGTAGAATAGCACTACTTACGGAACTTGATCCTTGGACTTTGTGTCCCATGACCCACTTTTGGCTTTTCAGCTCTCAGCCTTCATACTCGCAGCTAGGGAACAACCCATTGTTGGGTCTAGCCCTCTACTCTCAGCCTTTCCTCCCACTTGCTGTGTTCTAGAGATACCCACCTATGCTAGCTCACACTCTTGTTAGTACAGGCTTCTTTGTTCTGGTGTAGCCAGCATCCTTAGCCTAGCTGTGTACACCCTGCCTTGTCCCCAGCAAAAGAAACCAGAGGTATATTATAAATGCTTGTCTTTGTCATATAAGCAGTGGTGCAAAGAATACCAATTAATATAATGTGTGCTGTCTGAATTGTGCATGAACGTCTTAACTTTAGCTGCGATTTTGCTCTATTCTCATCTAAATCTTAAAATGAAAACAAATGTCCCTTGCCAAAACTTTCTCCACAGCCTACTTAACATTAACTGCCATCTTGTTTTTGGCTGGTTGCCTAAATTTAACTCCTTTCTGCTACTTTCTAGAGGCACGGTTATTGTACCTTGGGAGAAGCCTTTAACCGGCTAGACTTTTCAAGTGCAATTCAGGATATCCGAAGGTTCACTTATGTGGTCAAAGTAAGTGTTTTGTTTCAAAAACTACTTTGATGACTCTTTGAATAACTGTGTTTTGAGGAGTACAAATATGAAATGTTCAGGATTCTTTGGGTAGTACAGAAAGGTCTGATTGTTATGTAGGAAGAAAAAAGGAACAAGTTCAGTGGAAAATACAAAGGTTTGGGTTTCCTAACATAAGTTTCACAGGTTGGGGACCTCTGGCAGGGCAACCTTCCTTAGATTTCCAAGCTTGCCTAGGCTTTGGTAGAGGTGACAGGGCTGTGGTGCCTCTCCTTGTGCCTACCTTGGACCCACCTGGCCTCAGGAAGATCCCAGACTTGTCTGTGACTTCACATGCATTTTCTACTCTATGATTTACACCAAGAATGAGCTTCATTTCACAAAAGAGGAGCTAGCTAATAGGGGAAAAAAGGAATTTTATATAAAACACAACTCCACAAAACCCTTGTACTAGTGATGTACCTTTAAATAAAATTTTTATTTTGGGCTGGATTCAGAAGGAAAGGGTCTAAGCCATATGGTCCATTGACAGTTTGCCTTTGTTTGTCTGAAGGTTAACTGCTGTGTGATTTGTTCATCTTCACTCTGTTGTAGGTAAAGTTCAAGTCATAGTTTACCAACCTATTAATTTTGTGGTTTTAATGGTGCTGTGAGATGCTGGAAAGATTTTTTTCTTAATGGCTTTTGGGCGTTGAAGTTTTGCTGGAAGGATAGAACCTTGGTACTTGATCAGCAGTGGCCTCTGCTGCTCTTCGCTGTTTGCTGTGGCTCATTCTTCCTAGGATGGCCAGGAACATGGTATCTGAGACTGCATGCAGTTGGATTGAGTGGATTCCCAGTCTTCTTTGAGTTCTCATGGATAGGCTTAGAGTGATTACTCAAGTATCTCCCTTTTGGATGGTGGAACTGAGATTTGACTGTGCCTGTTTGAGATGTTCAGAATGAAGTGGCAAGGAGAGGAGAGAGCCAGCAGAAAGTTCTGTGTCTCCAACAGCTCTTAGTTCTTCTTGAGTGACATTTGTTGGTCATCTGTCTACAAGAATGAGATTTATGTAGTTAAGTCCAGGACAGAGGCCTGGCTGGGAAGGAGCCACTAGGAGGCCCTAGTGGGAAGAAGACTCAGCAGGTGCAATGCTGGAGACTGGGCTGCATCTCTTCTACTCTCTGGCCCTGGGGAAGGTCTGAGTATGCAGTGCTTGGTGTAGGGCACTCTGTACATCAGGGCTAGGCTTTAATCAACTTCAGCCATTAAGTCCTATCAGGGCTTTTTTTTTTTTTTTTTTAATACCAGGGATTGAATTTAGGACCCTACGCTTGCCAGGCAAGTGCCTATTCTACTGAGCTATCTCCCCAGGCCCAGGGCTTTTGTTTTGCCTGCATATTACACATTATTATTTACTGAGTAGCTTTTCTTTAAGTAACTTTGAAAACAGAAATATGTACATTAGCTTCACACCAAACCGTAATACCTCTATTTTAAATATGCTGTTTCCTAAAGTAGGCATATCTTAGGAACACAAGATTTCAGAATCACAGAATATTTATACTTTAATCTTAGTTTGGGAAATTGACCTGAAGACCTATGTGTCCTTCAGTGGATCAGTGGAGGAGCATGTCCCGGGTCAGGAACCTCAGTTTTTTGGTTTTGTTTATTTTAATAGCTTTCAGCAGAGTGCTTGGAAATGTCCTCTGTAAACAATGACAGTTTGACTTCTTTCAGTCTAATTTGGATGCTCTTTATTCTTTTCTTGCCTGATTGCTCTGGCTAGGATCTCCAGTACAAGTGAAAGTAGACCTTTGATTCTTGTTTCATATCTTAAGAAGCAGTTGGTTTTTCCCAGTTCAGTCTGACGCTAACTGTGGGCTTTTTCCTATGTGGCCCTGATTATGTTGTGTTATGTTCCTTCTGTGCCTCATTTGTTCAAAGTTTTTATCACAAAGGGATGTTGAATTTCAACAAATGCTATTTCTGTATCTGTTGAAATGATCATATGATTTTTGTCCTTTATTCTGTTCATGGGATGTATGTTGTTTATGACTATTTGTTGAACTATCATTTCCTGGTCCTGATCAGAGTGAGTTGTAATGTGCTGTTGGTTTCAGTTTGCTGACATTTTATGAGAGGTTTTACAATGATGTTCATTGGCCTAGTGTTTTGTTTTTGTGTCCTCGTCCAGTTTTGGTATCAAGAGAATGCAGCCCTTATAAAATGTATTTGGGAGAATTCTTTCTCCTCCTTAGAAGAATCTGAAGAGCAATGATGTCATTTCTTACAATGTTTGGTTGAATTCAGCATTGAAGCCCTTTAGTCCTGGGTTGTCTCTGATGGAAAACTTTATCTGTGTTGAGTGTGTCTCTTCAAATTTTGTTTCCCTAGTTTCAGTCTTGGTAGTTGTATGGATCCAGGTATTTTTCCCTTGGTGTCCAGTTGTTGGGAGACAGTTGTTCATCTCAGATGGAAAGAAAAACAGCTTATTGCAATGTTGGGAGGCAGTCAGCAAACAGAGGGCATAGTGGAGACCCAGGGGTGCAGGAGGCAGGGCAGAGGTCAATGTGGGCTCTCTCCGTCCCTCACTAGGAGACCCATCATGTATAAATTCTGTTATCATACTCTGTTCTGGTCTTAAGGGTCCTGTTAGGCATTTGTGAATCCTGGCCACAGGACAGTAGAAAGTGTTCAGTTGGGGTTGCTTTGACTTTCTTTTTGGTCTCCAGATTGAAGGGCCTCATAGCCTTCACAAGTGGGTCTGGGGATACAGTGGTGCTGGAATATGTGAATTAGTTCCATGGTAAATGAGTCACTTCACTTCGATACCTGGTTCCAGAACTGGCAGCTATGGATCTCTTACGCCCAGTGCTGCTGTGCCCAGAGGCTGTGCGCGCCTCTCAGGCTTGTAGCAGGAGACTTGAGCAGGGCTAGAAAGCTGGAGGTGTGGCTCCCTCACAGCCTCGGCTTCGATGCCCGCGCAGGGTGTAGGCAGATGCAGCGGCCCGTGCCTGTGGCATGTCAGCATAGCGCACTCAGTCTCTGCAGTGCTTGGTTTCCTTTTCTCTCTTTCCTTTAAGCTGTTGCAGCTGATTGCAAGATCGCAGTTAACTTCGTTGAGTGGTGTGGCACAGAAGAATTACTTCAACATTTTGGATAAAATCGTTCAGAAGGGTGAGATGATCGCTGACATTTTTAATAATTCAAATCTTAATTAGGAATTTTTCTTTCATTTTTCCCTGGTAGATAATGAAGCCAAAAATGATGATGCAAATACTGTGACCCCCATCAGACAGGATGAGCTCATTCCTTTAACTCCTAAAGTCAGTGTGATTGCTATTTCCTTTTTTAAAAGTTGTGTTTGAATACACATGGATATATTATGACAGGAACGATCGTGAATTACAGATCTCTAAAAAGCCATTTTTCCTTTTTTCACAAAAGCTAATCACGCTTCATTTAGTTGCCTGGTTCCGTAATTGGCAGAACTTTGGCTCACTCAGGCTTCAAATAAACCAGTATTTTAAGAAAATGAATGACCTCCCCTTGGTTAGTTAGTAGCTATAAGTAAGGGAACTTTGAATTTTATACCATTGCTTATGTGCACATACAGGAGTTTGTAACTACATGTGTAAGCCATTTAAAAATGTTTTATGGGCCAGGGAGATAACTCAGTAGAACAGGCACTTGCCTGGCAAGTACAAGGTCCTGAGTTCAATCCCCGGTACCACAAAAAACCCAAAAAATTCTGTGATAAATACAAAAGAAAGTAGATACTGACCATTTTAAAGGCAGAATTGTAGACCAACTGAACATTTACAATCAGATGAAATGTTAAGGTTTTTAAAAATGTTTGTATATCTGTTATACCTCAAAAAATGTTAATATACCTCTGATGCCTCAAATATGATGTCACTTTGGGTTTTAGTGAGATTAAATCCTTGTGATTTTTTTTGTAGTAAAATACATATAACATAACACATTTTGACCATTAAGTGTACATTCAGCAGCATCTCATGCATTGCATCGGGCAGCCTTTACATCCAAAATATCTTCATTTCCTGCAGCTGAAGCTACACTGTGGAGCAGTAACCCATAGTCACTCCTGTCTTCACACCTGGTAGCCACCACTTGTATTTTTCTGTCTCTGTGACTTTGACTAATCTAGATATTTTGTGTAAGTGGGATTCTGCCATGTTCTTCTTTAGTGACTGGCTTATGTCTGGCACAGGATTTCTCAGGGTTCGTCTGTATATAGTGTATGTCAGAATTTTCTTCCTATTTCTTTATTTTTAAATATTTATTATTTAGACAGGGTCTCACTGTGTAGTTCAGGCTGCCTTGAACTCACTGTATAGCCAGGCAGGCCTTGAACTTACGGTGCTCTTCCGGTCTCAGCATCCCAAGTGCTAGAATTAAAAGTATTCCACACCACACCTGGCTTCCTTCCTTTTTAAAGCTGAGCAATATTCCATTTCATGAATGGACTACATATTGTTTATTAATCCATCTGTAGTAGACACTTGGTTTGAGATGCTAGATCATTTTCTAAGTGGTGGTTCACTGTGCCAACGCACAGCTCTTTGTTCATTCTAGTTCTCGATGACCACCAGAATCCTCGCCTGATCAAAGATCTTCTGCAAGATCTGAGCTCTACCCTGTGTATCCTTATCAGAGGAGTAGGGAAGTCAGTGCTAGTGGGGAACATCAATATTTGGATTTGTCGCTTAGAAACTGTCCTCGGCTGGCAACAGCAGCTACAGAATCTTCAGATGACTAAGGTAAAAAAAAAAAATTGTAAATATATTTTTGTTTTTAATTGATAGAGTAATTTTACCTATTATGGTATACATGTGACTTTTTGTCTTTTTGAGACAGTGTTTCACTATATGGTTCATGCTGGCTTTGAATTTGCTTTGTAGCCCAGGCTGGCCTCAAACTCTCAGCAGTCCTCCTGCCTCAGCCGCCGTGTGCTGGGATCACAGGCATGTGCCACCATGCCTGGCCTCAGTGTAACATTTTAGTACATATGTGCAGTGTGTAATGGTCATGTTAAAGTAATTGGCATTTCTGTCCCCTCTGACATATAATAATCATTTCTTGAGAGCCTGGGAGGTAGCTCAGTAGAATAAGTGCTTGCCTGGCAAGCATAGGGTCCTGAGTTCAATCCCCAGTACCATAAAAAACAAACAACTAATAATTATTTCTCCGCATTGGGAAAATTCAGATGTTCTGTACTATTTGTTTTGAAGTATTCAATTATTGTCAAGCATAGTTATCCTACTCTGCTGTATGCTATTAAAAAGTACTTTTCCTATCCAACCATACGCCCATAGTTTGAAAATAACTGTCTACTATTATTAACTACCCTTTCTTCATCCTTCTGCTCCCTTCAGCCTTTCTAGGCTCTGGGACTCGTTAGTCTGTTCTGTATTTCTTTGCACCCAGCGTTTTAGCAAATTCCACATATAAATGGAAACAGCAGGGTACCTCTCTGTGCAGTTTCATTTGCTATGTCCTCTAGTTGCATCTGTTATTCATTTAAGCTATGGTGAATGGGAATGCTTTTTTGATTTCTTTCTGGCAAATGAATTTCCTGACCTACAATTATTACATCCTTTTTGTTCTATTGCAAAAGACATTATCTCTGACAAAGATATATGAGCTTTTGAAACCTTTTTTTACCCTTTCACAAGTATTAATTACATTGTTTTAAAATAAAAATGAGCAAAGACCTCTTAATAGAATTGTGACTGGAAAGAGTGGAAATGGTGATTGTTCAACCCATGGGTAATTTTACCTGCTAACCTACCTTTAAATTAAATTAAATGTTTGAGGCTAAAATAACATGTGGTAAATTAAAGCTAAATTGTATTGCCAGTAACTCTGCCTTTACTTAGTTGCTTCTCCAAAATTAGTTGCCTTCTTTGTGGGGTGTGTGTGTGTGTGTGTGTTTCTTTAGAAATAGTGAAAAAGGTAAAAAGTGGGTACATATCATATCAGTTGTATGTGATGCTAGTACCAAGAAAAATTTTCATATCATTGTCCAAGGCTTTGTCTTACTTCCTCTTCTAATTATAGGAAAAAGAATAAGCTGTAGGTATGTCCTCATAGTATAAGTTACAGCGTGGCTAGTGTGCACCTAATTCTTTAAACTGTCGTTTTTCTGTAGGTCATGATTATTTTTCTCTGCCCCTAACAAGCCATATGAAAGGAGTCCATTGCAGGGACACTGAAATATCTAAATATTGGTCATTTGTTTGCCATCTAAATATGGGACTTAGAAGAAGTAGTGATTCCTTAATTTAGTGACATTGGAAACAACCAGTATCCAGGGCCCCCCTTCCCATGGACACAGAAAACCAGTGTTCAGGGCCCTCCTCCCACGTGAACATAGGAGATGACCAGTGAGCTGGGTGGGCGCTTGCCACACCCTAGTGAGTGGCCAAAGCCAGCCTAGGGGGCAGAGCCTCTTTATCTCCATGTGACGAAGCATGTGTTCCATCTCAGCTATTCCATTTCTGTGTGAACAAAGCTACCATCTTTCCTTCAGCACGTGAACAGTGGCCTCACCCTCAGCGACCTGCCCTTGCACATGCTGAACAACATCCTGCACCGCTTCTCAGATGGGTGGGACATTGTCACTCTGGGCCAGGTGACACCCACCTTGTATGTGCTCAGTGAGGACAGGCAGCTATGGAAGAAGCTGTGTCAGTACCACTTTGCTGAGCAGCAGGTAAGTGTTAGGCCACCTGGGTACACTGTAGTCAGAAGGCGTTGAGATTGCTATGATCTGCCTTATGTCAGCACAGGGTTGTTTTCCATATTTAAGGAGAACATGACTCTGAGCATAGTTCATAGCCACATAGCACAGCCTGAGCCATGTTCTGTATTCTGCCTGATAGTAACAGGGCCTACAGATTTCCTTGCATCTGCCTGTCACCAAGCTATACCTGGCCCTCCCTCTTGAGTATTCTCTGGAGCTTGCTGACAAGATGAGAGCTAGCAGTAGCCTCCATTGTTCCTTGTCTGTAGTGAATGTGTGCTCTGGCTGTGTTGACCCTTGCCACACATGCAGGGTGCCAGATGTGGATCTGCGTTGAGGTGTAACAAGTGCCACGGAGGCGCAGTGTGGAGCTGTGTACTCCCACAGGACAGGCCTGGTGGGCGGCAGCGTCCTGAGCTGAAGGGGCCCCAACCACACCTCTAGGAATCCCTGTCCAGTGCTGTCGTGCAGCCCACGTGACATGTGGGACGAACCCCAGCTGTCAACGAGCTCTGCTCTTGTTCAAACCAGCGACATGTACAGGGTACCCTTCACAGGATGTCTTAGGGAGGGGTGGTATACAGTAAGACCTCAGTGAGCTAGGGCAGGAGGGTAGGAAGGGACCTGGCGGAATCCCAGGGAGACCCCTGGTGGGCCTAGAGCAGGCTCAGGAGGCCAGGTTTTTGGTTTGTGAGGAAGGCTGGCTGGAGAGAAGACAGAGCGTTCCCTGTCTGAGCAGGAGTGAAGGCGGTAGGTCAGCATTGGGAGAGGGGAGCAGCTGATGGGGGGCGGTGCCGGGTGGGGGGGCTGCCGCCTTCTCCCTGAGGCCTCCTGCCCCTGACACAGGCTGGCAGGGAACGAGGTGAGGGCGGCAGCCACATCTCCACTTGGTCTGGCCCTGAACTGCTGGTAAGGGCAGCAGGTAAGCCTCTAGGCCTTAGACCTCAGACCGTGGTGAAACCCTTGCAAGGACACTAATAAAATTCGTGTCCCTTAAGAAGTTAGTTGTTTTACAGTTAACGCCTAAGGCTTATCTTGTGGATACTGTCCCTTTTCTTGACTGAATTATGAAAATCCAGCACCCAAAGAGAAGCGTCTGCTCTTCAGAGCCTGCTCACTGGAAGTAGGTGCTCCTCCCACACAGAGCTAAAAAAGACAAGCTACTAAAAGCTTACTTCAGAAAGCAGTACAGCTGGCAAGTGCCCTGTGAAAATCACATGGTAGAGGGAGGAGCCTGGCACTCTGTGCTGATGCACTGGAAGGGCCTGCCAACCAGTCGGGCTCAACCCGGGCGCTTGGGCTGGTGTAGGGCTGGGGTGCAGCGCGGTCACAGGCGGCTTTCCAGGAGAAGGTCATCAGGAGAGTGGGCACAAACCAGTGCAGAGGGACTGAGAGTGCAGGTCTGCTTTCATCCCCTAGAGCCAGTGACTCAGCAATACCTGGGAGACGCAGAGGTTATGGAGCCAGTTTTATAACTTCCTTTCACTTTTTAGGCTGTCTCCTCAGATTTTATTAGGAACAGCTTTCAGACTCCATCCTAATTTCCAAAGCTTCAGACTTCATGGCTCCCTATGCCCCATTTTTAGGAGTTCTGCAAGTGGGTATGAAAGGCAAAGCATGCTCACTGGAGCAGTGGATGAGGCACAAACAGCAGTGAGTGGCAGCCTGTCGGAGCCCAGCCACCCACCTGCTGCAGACCTTCGTGAGACTCAGCAGCTAGGTGGCTAGACAGTGTCAGCAACTCTTTTAGGGCACCATCCTCTGACAGCCGTCACCACAGCTGCTTTCAGGATGGCTACCCCTTGGGAAGGAACCTCATTCTGGGATGCGCCCCCCCCCCCCCCCCCCCGCAGCCTAGAGCAGCCCACATGTGCTTTCTCTCTGGAGAGGCCCCTGTTTAGTTTTTGGCTTGAGTGAAATATATACTGTTTTTCTTCTGTATGTGATTCCTTTCCCTAATCTCCGTGTCCTCTGGGCGCCACATGGTGTTGTTAACTGGAGCTACATTCCTCTCAAGCGACTATAGTAGTCTACTCTGGACACACCACATCTGTGCAACCTTTCAGCAGCTGGTGAACGTCCAATTTGCTTCCACCTTATGGCTGCTGGGAGCACTACTGCTGTGTGCATTTCCACCAGGCTGTGTGGGAGGAGCTCTGAGTGGTGGAGTTGCTGCTCAGACTGGCCCGTTCAGCATCTGGGGAGCTCCTAGGCTGCTTTCCTCCCCACAGAACCGCTCTGGGTGCCTGTTCCTCAGAGCCGCCAGCACTGGCTGTGATTTTCTGTCATAGCTGTCTTTGTGGATGCAGTGGTCTTACATAGGCCGTGCTCTGGTAGAAGGTGGCGGGCACCTCTTTCCAAGGGCACTGCACACCTCCATGTCTTCATGGAGACATCTTTCAGTCATGCTGCCCATTTTCATAGTGGGTTGTGTTATTTATATATTTTACATATAAGACTTTTACCATATATGACATGAGTTAAACTATATGTCACAGCATCATCCCAGAGCCAATCTTCAGATGTCTCACAACTGTTTAGAATCATATAGGTACACTGTGATTTATTTGCCTTGTGCTTTATTGACTTAATCCAAGTAAGCTTGATTTCAAATAGTTAAATGTTGTATATGCTATACTGCCTTTTGAAAATAGTTTTGCACTTAATTTTTTACAGAAAATATAAAATTTCAAAACAAAGGAAGAAAGGGTAAAGAAAAAATGCATCTAATGTTAAATCATCAAATTCTGAATAGAACTTTTGTTTCTTTAGTTTTGTAGACATTTGATTCTTTCAGAAAAAGGTCATATTGAATGGAAGTTGATGTATTTTACACTTCAGAAATACTATCCAACTAAAGAACAGTATGGAGACACCTTACATTTTTGTCGACACTGCAGTATTCTTTTTTGGAAGGTAATAATTTAAATTTTACTCTTGAAATTTGGGAGTTGGAATTGGGTGAAACATTGTTCACGTGTATTTAAAGTGGCAAGATAATAAAAAGTAGAAATTTCGTTTGTGATGAAAAAGCTAATTAGATATATTTCACCATATACTGGAGGTGGGACAGGTGTCTGTAACATGTGTGTCTTGCATCTTGAGTCAGCAGTGCTGAAAACTGAAATGCAGGGACATGGGTACGCCATCTCCCTCTCATGGACAGCAGCATGTACGAGGCCCTGAGGGTGGTGGCCTGAAAGCTCATCCACAGCTGCCTACACGTGGCCTCTTATGTCATATGTTAGGCCCACTCTCTGCAGAGAGCAAGAGACAGTGCAGCTCCAGAAGCAGGCGCTTAGGCCAGGGGGCCGTGCAGATGCACCGCCTGCACAGTACACCTGCACTCTTTCTTAGTTCATCAAACCCTAAGACTGTCAGTACTTACCTGCAAATAAAAACTTAGAAACATCTTCAGCAGTTTGCATATTCAGAGAGTAAACAGGGACTCTTTCACCCCCTGGCTTCCTACTCGTTGTTTTAAATACCACTATCCATACTTTGTCTCTGGTGACAATATGCTTTCCGTGGTCAGAAGTGAGCCCTGTGGACTGCTGCTTTAGTACAGTGTGTTTCTTTGGTGTGTTGACACTTCGTTGGAATGCATTCACATGGTTTGTCAGGTGTTTGAGTATGTTTAAGAGGAGGGAAAGCTTTGAAATAATGGAAGCCGACACTGGGGTGAGCAGGCAGCCCTGACCCTGCTGACCCAGCTGTCCTGAGCAAGGGCCCTCTTTGCTGTCCTCAGATAGACAAGCAGTGGAGCTTCTGAGTTTAGGGAGGTGAGGCTTTTGCTGGTAAACACCATCCCCTGCTTTGAGTGTTTCTTTTGCATTACATTTATCTAAATCCACTATCAGGCCACAAAGTGAGTGCTGAATGTAGGAAAAGAGGAAATTGCTTTTAATTGTTTCATTTATGATAGCATAGCTGTTTATTTTTGATCCATCACTGATTCAAGAACCTAAAGATGTTTTCTCTTGTATTTTAGTAAGATTGGTTCTCTTTACTCTTATCAGAGGTAGACAGCATTATGAACAGTTGCTGATGACTCCAACAAAAATAACCCTTAAGGTTTGCTATTTCTGAGTTTGTTTTATGTCTTGTAATGACTCCTGTCCTGTCAGAATCAAAACTGCAGGACACTGTCTTCCACAAGCAGGGACCATCCTTGGCCCAGATTCATTCTCAGCCTTAGGTGACATCAGCACAAGGAGCATCTTCCTCTGCGCCCTCACCTAGTGTTGGCACCTGACCTGCCCAGGTCCTTCCAGGACTAGTGCACTGGTTTCTCTTCTGTCACTAGGGTGGATGACACATTGACTGCGAATTCATTGCTTCTTTCTCATAAGCAGACTGTTTTATACTATGGAAATTAATTAAAGTCATAATGCTTCTGTGGAGGAAGACACAGCCATTGGACCGAAAGCCTAGTTTTATATGTTTGTATTTTTCCCAAATCAGTGCTTGATTGTATTGGAGCTCTCCTGTTGGCTAATTAAAAGACACTAGTGTCTATGCTATTAGGCAGTATAAGAATATGTTGTTTATTTCCTTAAATATGTAAGGTCTTTTTTAAAAATTAAACTGAGAGATGAGTTTTAGCTTTCCAAAAGAATAAGCCTGTGTCTCAGTTACTCTTCTGTCCTTGCTAGGACAAATACCCGACACCCAAAATGAAGGAAGAAAAGATTGCGTTTATTTAGCAAGGTTTCAATCCATACTCAGCTAACTCCAAGGCAGAGTGGCACATGGCAGAAGGCAGCAGTTCATGGTGGCAGAAAACAGCAAACAGCAAGAGCAAATGGGAGGAGTAACAGCAACAATGGCAGCAGGAAACAAGTCTGTCTCTCTTAAGTTGCATTCAGGCTCTCTGCCCCAGGCTGGGTGTAGTACTTATACCCATAATCCCAGTGGATCATGATTTAATCACAAACTCTAGAAATCCACCCCATGACTGCATGAGGATTTGGGGGGACAACTAGACACAAACAATAACAGCCTGCAAGTTTCTGTCTTGCTACACATAATCATATTGTGGAAACTCAGAATGAGCTCTGGTCTTCTGGTCTGGAGTGCACGTCCAGCCTCGAGTGAAGTTATGCTGCTCTGTTGTAGTGTGGCCCCTGTGAACCCTCAGCTCAGCTCCCCCACTAGACGTCCTTCCAGACGACAGTGACTCACATTTCTGTCTCTGAACCATGCTGTGAAGTGCCAAGTAAGGAACGTCGTCTCTTGCTTTAGCTGCCAAAGCCATCAGTGCTGCCCTGAATGTCTTAGATGTGGCCACGTGAAGGCCACCAGCCCATCTACCCCTGGAGCAGATGTGTGCTGCCCAGGAAATGGTGCCTGCTATTCATTTCTTCAGCCTGTGAACTGAGGCATTGAATATCTCAGACCTGTTAAGAAGGGCAGACAGATGACTTGCTAATGGCTTCATGTTGGATAGACAGCCTCTTCTGAGTGTTGGACACGGAGCCATTCTCCTTTCCGTCTGCCCCTGCAGTGGTCCTTTCTCTAGCTCCAGAAGGGTTTTGCATCTGTTTGGTGACCACTGTTTTGAAAAGTGATGGCTAGTTATGCTTTTTCTCCTTGCCTTTATGGCCCACCTCAGTGGCCTACACCAGGTCACAAGGTGCTGAGAAGGGCAGAGGTAACGTGCGGGTGTTTTTACACCTGCCTCTTCTTGTTCTTTCAAGTGTACACAACCTCAGCCAGACACTGTAGACCCATAGAGCTCAGCAAGCCATGAGGATTTGGCATTTCTGTGTCACTTTGTGTCTTGGCATATCAGTTGCCAAACTAAGGGCCAAGCACCAATGAGGACCTAACAAGCCCGTGTGGCTATCAGAAGCGAAGTTGTGGAGGGAACCCCAGATCCTGCCTAGTCATGGCCCAGTCTGTGGTCATCCCCTGTAAGCAGCAGTGGGGTCAGGAAACCCTTGCCACCCTCCCTGAGGAGCAGTGTGAGCCACAGGCTGAGACTCCACCATGGGGCCCTAGGGTATAGCTGAACACCTGCTGTACTGTTTTCAGGGTGAAGTCAGTGTGGAAAAATGAGCACTTTTTCCTGTGCTGTCCATAGCATTTCTGAAGATTTATCTGTGGCCTCATGATTTATTCATTTGAGAGACTGAAAGGAAACAGGTTTTTGTCCTTGTTCCAAAACAGGCTGTCTGATGGTGCCTTGTCTTACATAATATTTTGTTTGTTCAAATTTAGGTACTTGATTTTTTTTTGTTACTTTCATAAAGAATATGTATCAAACCTAAGTGCTAACTACTTCTGCTCTTTCTAACTTGATTTCTCCTTTCCTTCTTTGCTGCACTTCTTGCTGATTCTTTTCTGCGCCGTATCAGGACTACCACCTCGCGTGGTTATTCAAGGTACACAGCTGCATTGCATACTGCTCTGCCCTACTTGGAGACTCTTGCTGAGACTACAGACCTGTCTGTCCCTGAAAGCTCATTCTTAGGACGTACCCAACCCTGGGGCTGGGGACAGCAGTGGGCCTACAATGCCTCTAGGGATGGTGACAGATCTATTTCGGTCCCTCAACTCTAAGTAATGTCAGATTCTTTAGCCCTGCTGTAGACAGTGATCCTGTGTCTGATCAGTCCTATGTGGCTGGAGCACAGGTGGGTGGAGGCCCCTGTAACCAGAGCAATCAGAACCATGGACATCAGTCTCCTGTATAGGAATCCATAACTCCACTGAGATAGTACTGGGGCCACTATGCTGTAGTAGTTCTCATTGAGGTGGGACTGAGCTCCCTTGACCAAATGCTGGCAGGGTTAGTAACAGTGTCTCACAACCCATCCCTTCCCTACAGGACTCAGGACACCCCTGCACTGCGGCTGACCCAGACAGCTGCTTCACCCCCGTGTCTCCACAGCACTTCATCGATCTCTTCAAGTTCTAAAGACAGCCCTCATCCATGCTGTCCCTGTCGGAGGCAACACTTTACTTTCTGTGTAGTAGGTGTTTCCTGTGACCAAAAGCCATGGCTGAGAGTCCCTGAGTCCCTGGCATCTGGAAGGAACGTGAGAAACTGCCCTCAGCCGCTGTGTTGTTGTATATTTCCATCTCTAAAGGGGTCAAGAGATCCAAGCAAATCATTTCTATGTCTGTCTTTAAAACTTCTCTTCTTCTAAGCACATTAAAATTTGGAATTTTGTATATTTACAAATACAGATCAAAGATTTTAGAGCCTACATTATATGTTGAACTGACACAACCAACCCAAGAATATGTTTCACAGTTGTCAAATTAGTTTTCCACCTTATAATACCTGGGGCACAAGATAAAACAATTGATCCTTGGAAATACATTGTGCAGAATATTTATTTTTCTTAAAATGTAATTTCATGACTACAGTGGCTTTGCCCATATGAGTCTGGGCATTTTTGTCTTGGTGTAAACCCCCCGGATTGTGAACTGTGTTGTCCACAGCCAACAATAGTTGGTTCTCTGCTCTTAGGTGCCCCTACAGCTAGGACCAGACCCTGGATGGAGCCTCTGCTGAGGAGGGGTACCACAGCTGTGTGAGGCGTGCACTGGACATGGGTACAGGATGCTTCCAGAGAGGACAAACATACTATGTCTATTTGTTGATTCCACTTTGTCTGTTTTCCATCTTACTGAAAAAAGTGCTATTAGTGATCTTTTATGTCATTTAAGCCTTCAACAGATTGTCTTATTTTTTAAATAATGCATGTCCATTTTAGAAAGTCTTAAAAATAAAATATACAAAAAAAAATTGAAATCACGTATAAGTCCACCATGCAAAGATAATTTGTCCTTGCTGAAAATATAAGAACTTGCCCCTCAGTATTTGTTATATAAATATGTTTCATGGTGTATATATTTTATGTTTGAATGGGTTGGTTGCTTAAAACTTGCCTTCTAAACATTAAAATTTCTAACTGCCAATTTGTAAATGTTGATCAAAAAAGATTCTAGAAAAGATTCAAGATTTTCATCCTTATTTTTTGTACCAAGCAGACACAAATGACTAAGAATTACAACTCGCCTCAGGTGCAGGAGAGACACAAGGGCCTCTGTGAACCCTGGAGTATGTTCCTCAAAAACCACAACTTGCCTGCCAGTTTATAGCTGGACCCTTTGCCTGCGTCATGTGACTTGGAAACAGTTTTGGTGTAGCCATGTCTGGTAGGAACAGTGGTGACCAAGAAGCACCATTGCACACCCACTTCTGTATGACACTATGGGTCACATCTCTTGCAGCTTTTAGTGAATGTGTTCAGGTTGGCAGCCTTTCTGAAAGGAAGACTGTTGTCTGTCCATTTTTTGTGTAGCATGATACTATATTGGTGCTGTTTTAATAGCTGAAGCCCTGGATGCTGGTTCATTTACTGTGAAATGGGGCATTTCCTCTGTGTTCTTATTTCAAGGTGGAACATTTCATCTGTGTTTATTAACTACTTGTGTTTGCTGTGTGCTCTTTGCCTGCTCTCTTTTGGGATGTTGTCTCTCTCATATTAATTTTTTCAAAGGCTACTAACCTCTTCAAGTTACAGTTCTTCCCACCAGTGGGTCATAACCTTTTAGCCACTATGGTGCTGTTTGTGCTGTAGAATCACACATACCTGCATTTAACTTGTATACATTGAATAATTCCTCTCCAATAAAAGAACCACACTCGACACTGTTAGCCATTAGGGAAATGCAAATCAACACTACATCCATTTGTGCTGTCTTCGAGAATACAGAAAGCAATAAATGCTGGCAAGGATGTAGGGGAAAAGGAGTGCTTCTCCAGTATTGGTAAGAATGTAAATTAGCACAGCTACTATAGAAATCAGTATAAAGGCAGTTCAGAAAACTAAAAATAGAGCTACCAGATGACCCTTATATTGATATATCCCTGAAGAAATTAAAATCATATTATAGGGATACCTGAATACCTGTACTTACTGCAGTACAGTTCACAATATCCAAGACATTTAGCCACCCTAGGTGCCCGTTAATGGATAAATTGGTAAACCGTGGTGTGTGTGTGTGTGTGTATGTAATACTCCACTGTGTGTGTGTATATACACACACACACACACAGTGGAGTATTATTCAGCTGTGAAGAATGAGATTTTGTCATGTTCAGGAAAATGAAGGAGCTGGAAGTTGTCCTATTGAGCAAAATAATCCAGACTTAGTCACCACATTTTTCCTATTATGTGGGGTCTTTGAAAAAAAGCCATATTGGGCTGGTGAGATGGCTCAGTGGTCTAAAGCACCTACTTAGAACAAGCTTAGCAAAGCACAGGGACTGTGGTTCAATCCCCCAGCACCACATGCCAGCCAGCCCCGCTCCCTGGTGGGCTGAGCTGGCCACACACACACACACACACACACACACAAATAAATAAATTTTTTAAAAAAAGATGCAACCATGATAAATAATTAAAAAGAAAAAAAGCCATACTGAGTGTAGGGAGGATGACCCAGCCACTCTTCTGTGTGTACTCATGGTGAGGGGCCGCTCCCCCCCCCACACACACCTATGGTTTGTGTTCGGACAGTCTCACAGGCAAGTGGAGGACACAACTTGGGTCACCAGCAGGAGGCTGAAGAGTCAGAGCAGAGACAAGGCTAAGAAAAGTAATCCTGAGTGTGATGGTCACTTAATATGCATGGGGAAGGCTGTGTTGGAGGGCCTCCAAGAAGAGGGTCTGCGTTACTGCTAGACTCCCCTGTGACTCATATGTCTTTGGCAGAGTGAGATGTCAGGACCCCAAGAGTCCAGGGCTAGATGGGCTCACTGCTGCACTGACTCTGGGGGCCACCTGTACAGCTGCCCAGAAAGCCGCTGCCTATATTGACACCCAGTTACAACTTCCTTTTGCCAATTTTGAGATTCAGAAAGGTTTGTTTCGTACCTGATCTGTGAATATGTGTGAGCAAGGAAGAGCCTGACCAAGCAGATCAGGCTGAGCTTTGTCCCAGCATGCGGTCTGCCCTGTGTATACAGACTGTTTAGGTCTCACACAGAAACTGGGCTGCTTCACAACCTTGTTTAAGGGCCTCACTGTGCATTATTTCTGCCTGCAGTGCTTTTACAATCTGTCGTATACACTTGAGGTATTTTGATCTTGTATCCTGCAGCCTTGCTGAGATACTTAAGGTCCTTAGGATTTTTTTTTAATGTATTTAGTACAGGGTCTCACTACACATATTGGACTCGTAGTGATCCTCCTGTTTTCAGCTTTCCAAGTGCTGGGCTTAGGTGTGGGCCACCACACTCAGTCTCAATCGCCGTCTCAGTGCATCTCAGGGGCAGGGCTAGCATGGGGATCAAACTACAGTTCCTGCATCTGCCTAAACAGGCACTTTAATCCACTGAGCTATCTGGCTGGCCCAAGATCCTTAGGATTTGCTGTATATACAGAATTATGTTGTCTGCAAATAGACATGATTTTACTTCCACTTGTCCATCTGGATGCCTTTTACTTTTATTTCCCTCCCCCCTCCCTTTTTTTTTTTTTTTTTCTGTGATAGGGTCTCCGTGTGTGGTTTGGGCTGGCCTACAACTCACTGTATAGCTCAGGCTGACCTCAATCTCTGCCTCAGCCTCCCTAGTGCTGGGATTACAGATGTGTGCCACACGTCTAGCTCAACTTGTTCATGCCTAACTTTCCTAGCTAAAGCCTCCCACACTATGCTGAGTAGGCAGCAAGAATTGCCTCACCTTGCTGATCTTAACATTTTCAGCCTTTTATCAGTTGTGGGTTTTTCAGGTACTATACATTGGGCTCAGAAAGTTTCCTCCAGTTTCTAGTTTGTTTTAATCATGAAGAGTCATGGATTTCGTCAGCTGCTTTTTTTTTTTTTTTCTGCCTTTCATCCTTTCAGGCGTGGTATTACTGTGCTGATTGACTGTTATGCTGACCAGCCTAGTGTTCCTGGACTGAGTTCTGTGTGCTGTGTTGCTCTGTCGCATCATTCTCTTGTGATATCTTTGGTTTTGACATCAGAGTAGAAATAGCCTTACTGGATAAGCTCAGAAAGTGTTCCCTCCTGCTTGCTTGTTTCAGTACTGAGACTGATCCAGGATTTTGCATTGAGCCACATCCTCGGCCCTTTTTATGTTGTATTTTGCGATAGTCTTGCTAAATTGCCCAGGATGAGCTTGAACTTGGAACCCGCCTCTCTCAGCCTCCCAGACTGCTCAGATTACAGGCGTGTGCTTCTATGCCTGGCCTTTTCTTTTTTGTATGGGAAGAGCTCATGAAGGTTTATGTTCACTGATGTCTCACCTTCTGTGTTCATTGGCATCTCCTTAGGGAAGTGCCTCTACATGACTCCCCTGAATAGGATGAAGCTATTTTCTCTACAGATGTCTTGAGTAAACTTTTCTTTTTGTTGTGAAGGCCTAACAAAGCAGGTAAGTGGGTGGTGAGCTCACTTGCCACGAAGAAGGGTGGAACCTAAGCAGGTCACACTGGCTGTTGTCACCATGGGAAACGCACACCTGAGTCCACTTCCTGCCTCCAGACTCCCTACGCAACCCAATATCCACGTGAAGGCCACAAAGTTTGCATGGCTGTAAAGATAGTGAGGCAGCTTGCCTGATACTCGGCTGGCCAGCACCCTAGAGCCCCATGCCCACAGTGCCCTCAGCTGACCCACATCTGCTGAAACAGAACTGCACAGTCTTTACCATGTCTGCGCAGAGAAAGAGGAGGCCCCTCTGCTCTGAGAAAGGTATCCTGCTGTTCATTTTACTAGTTCTCAAAGGTGTACACATTGGTCATTGATTTGAGATCATCTATTTCAGATTTCTTCTTTTTATTTTATTTTATTTTTTGGCAGAGCCGGGGATTGAACTCAGGCCCTTGTGCGTGCTAGGGAAGCGGTTATTCTACTGAGCCATCTCCCCGGCCTCAGATTTCTTCTTACCTCCCCTTTTGTTGTGTTCCATAAGATGTTGTATATTTTTTTAAATTTTATTTATTTGTGTGTGTGTGTGTGTGTGTGTGTGTGTGGCCAGCTCAGCCCACCAGGGGGCAGGGCTGGCTGGCATGTGATGCTGGGGGATTGAACCACGGTCCCTGTGCTTTGCTAAGCTTGTTCTAAGTAGGTGCTTTAGACCACTGAGCCATCTCACCAGCCAGATGTTGTATATTTTTATATTAACTTGTCTCTAGTTATATTTTAATAATTGTTGTTCTTAGATCCACTGGTTCAGAATGAACTTAATTTCCAGATATTTGTGGACTTTTAGTTTTTCCTTCTAATATTGATTTCTAGTTTCACCCCACTATGACCAGAATATTTTTCATTATTTCAATTTTTTGAAAAGTAGCCTTATGTGCTGCCTATGTGGGTGACCCCATATGCATCTGGGCAATCTGGGCTC